CCAAATTACTCCAAGATATTCTAATTCTGTTGCACTATATTTACTTTCTTCTTTGCTAACTCTTCTGCTAGCATATGTTATAACATGTTCCTTCTTTTCATCATCATATTATATTAGTACTGTACCTAATTCTAATCCTGATGCATCTGTAAAAAGGATGAATGGCTTTGTAAAGTCTGAATACACGATAATTGATGGTAAGGTCAAATATTTTTTAAGTATTTCAAAAGCTTCTTGTTATTTGTCTGTCCACTTGAATTTCTCATTCTTTCTGAATAATTTGTATAGAGATGCTGCTATTTTGACGAAGTCTTTGATAAATCTTCTGTAGTAAGAAGCAAGTTTCACAAATCCTCTCAATGAAGTAATATTAGTAGGTGCTGGAAATTCTTGTACTTTCTCTATTTTTGCTGGGTCAGGATGAATTCCATCTTTTCTAATGATATATCTCAAAAAGGGTAATTGGTTCTTTCTAAAAGTGTATTTATCCAGTTAAAGTTTAAGGTTTGCTTGATGAAGCTTTTCTAAGGCTTTCTATATGTGAACTACATGTTCTTCTCAAGTTTCTAAATAGATAGTTATATCATCCAAGTATATAACTATGAACTTCCTAATATACTTTTTAAAGATCTTGTTCATAAGCCTTTGAAATATGACTAGAGTATTTGTAAGACCAAATGGTATTACATTGAAATGAAATAATCCTTCATTAGTAATAAATACTATTTTCTCCCAGTTCTTTGGATGCATTTTCACTTGCCAAAATTCACTTGCAAGATCCATAATGGTGAAGTATTTGGTATTTTTAAAAGAGTCTAATAACTCATCAATACGTGGAAGAGGGTATCAGTTTTTCTTTGTTACTTCATTTAACTTTCTATAGTTAACACACAATCAGAATTTTCCATTTTTTTTTCTTACTATTACAACTAATACTGATCAAGAACTATCAGATGGTGATATTATTTCATTCTCCAACATCTTTTGAATTTTCTCTTTTAGGAATGTATTTTCTATTAGTGACTTGCGATGATAGGATCAAAGAGTGATGGGTCTTTCTTCTTCCAAATATATTTTATGCTGAAGTATATCAGTTCTGCCAGATTTAGTAGTGTCAAAAAGATCTTTATATGAATCTAGAACTTGGTGTAGTTGTTATTATTGTTCTAAATCTAAGTCTGATTCTATCACAATTAGAGTTGCATTAAGTGAAGGTAGAGATAATATTTCTAATTAGCTATAAATCTCTTGTTCATTCTTGCATTGAGGACAATCATATCTTCTTTTACTATGCATGCAGACATTGAAGTCTTCTAGCCTTTCTCATCAAATTCTTTCTTCTTTTTCTTGTCCTATAATCTTGTCACTAATCTTGACAAAATTTTTCTGTATCTCTATTTTCATTACAAGTTGCTCATTTTGCTCTTTGTATACTGTATATAGAGGTTGATCAACTAACTCCTCTTCTTCAAATTCATATTCTTCATCATCATTTTTGAGAACAGATTCCTCAAGTTCTCTCTCAAAACCAATTAGCTTCATTATAGATCTCTGTTATGTACAAATGACTGGGATGATTGTAAACTCTCCTTCTACTTTAAGACTTAAAAGTTCATCATCTCAATTCAGGATAGCTTTTGATTATTTGGCCCATTAGTTTCCAAGTAATAGGTCATATTCTGCTTTTTTCATAATTAGGACATCTACTTGTTAATTTAATCTTTCAAGTTTTATGTTTAGATCTTTTACTTCTTCTAGTGATCATTCTGACTTTCCATTTATTCTAATTAGACTAATATTTGATGGCCTATCAATTTTTCTGTTTATCTGTTTCAAGAATTTGGCTGAAGTAACATTACTGACAGATCCACTATCAATTATAACTCGGGTAAGATATTCTTCTATAACTGCTTCATAATGAACTGCATCCACTACTTTTTCATTCTTCTTTTCTAAATTTTTATTTTCCTCTATGGTTTCAGTTAATAATTATTGTAAGAATGTTGTTGAAGATTTTTGAGATTGACTCATACTCTGACCTTCCTCAGATACAGACTCTAGTTTAAATGTGAGGTATTACTATTGTTAGTGATGATGTTAGGGATTGTAGTCATTGTAGACTGTCCACCTAGAAGCTGTTGTAATTGTTATAATAATAGGTTATTATCCAGTACTGTGGTCATCAGTATACTCGAGCATCACCTGGGTTGACGTGAAGGAGGTCTTCAAACCCTTTACCAAGTATTGTCAAGAAACCTTGCAACTCCCTGATGATTTAACTGATATGTTGTAATACACCTCTCTTGCTGTCAACTGTCTCAGTATCATCTCAACGGGGAAAGAAGCAAAGCAACTGCACTTTATCGCACCTATTCTCATACTCGTATGCTGCAAGCTGGACAACGTGGAAATCCTTGTTGAAGAGGATATGGATGGCAAGAACGTTCACATCAATGGCAAGTTCGAGTTTATGTTGAAGCAAAGAAGGACGACATTGAGCGCAGGGTATGATGCAGGATTTGCTGGGCTGCGAAGCAGTTACGGATATAGAGCACCTGGATTGTGTCTACAGCATTGTTACGAACTACAAAGAATAGATATTCTTGCGAAGTCTCAACAGCCGAATTGAGCTGACGATAACATTTGATGCCAATATGCCAACGCGAGAGTCTGGCTAGAATTGCTAGCAAGATTCATGCAATGATCTCTGGATAAGTTGGCCCAAGAACCGGACGAAATCAATGAGGAGCTCATCTAATAAAAAGGCCAAACAATCTTCCATCAAATTAAGAGATTCACAGTGAGAAAGACTACTATAAAACCGAATTTTGTACCGTCATTATACTGTTACCGCGCAGCGATGGTTAGTTTTAGTCACATGCGAAATCTTAGTTGTTTCTTACCTTGTGTCGATCATCGCCCTTGTAGTGATGTTATGTCGCACATAAATTATCATATTTCACGCGTTCGCGCATAGTACCATCCAAATAAAGCATAGAATAATTGATTAGTCAAATAGATTAATATCAAAATGAAATTAAAATGAAAATGTAAAAATAAAATCGTTGATTTTTTACCATTTAAAAACATATGGAGCAATTTTTTTTTCCTTATGTAAAGTTTATTTCAATTAGGTTGAGTTGTATGTTTATATAATAATTACGATTAATAATTATATTAATAATGATTATATTTAGTGTACCGTAGAGCGGTGACTATAGTATCTTCACTTTGTAAATATCCGGGGTACTTTGCACAGTATACTTTTATCGAAATATATGATATGCTCCACTAAGGGGGCTGACAAATATTAGGTAATATGGGCAGACAACATTCTGTTATAACTAATGACAAATTTATGGAAATGCATTTTTTAATTAATCTATATTATACCAAAAATGTGACTTTCACATTTGTAAATATAAACAATTTCTTTCCCACATTAATTATATTAATATGTTCTTATTAAGCATTAACGCCAACTTGTATCTGGCTTGTGCTGTTCATATCGGTAGCATTGTTGACGACATTGTTGATACTCCTTACGCCTAAATAAAAGAAAATAGATCAAAAACCAAAATATATGCGAAAAAACCAACAAAGTTAATAAATAGTTGGACCTTGATATCCAGCACCATTTCTGTTGAGGGCGCCACGTCCGCTGCGATATCCGTTGAATTGATAATTTCCGCCACTATTTAGGTATCCATTGTTTCCCTCTCGGAAATTTCGGCCTCTGAAAGTACTTCGATTATTATTACCTTTATATATGTTACGATATTCGCCTTGGCCTCGATTATGATTATTATGATGATGATGATGATGATGATTATTGTTATTATTATTGTCATTATCATTATTTGTTGGAGGAAAAACCAGTTGTTGGTATCCAAGTAATGGATGAACTAGTGGATTCAGTTGGGTGGATTGTATGTGCACAGGGTCTTTCGGTTGTTCTAATCGAGGAAGGATTTTATTTGGCGGATCTGATCGCGGATTTCTCGGAAGCGTCCTGGGTTGATATGCAGTATTATTCTGTGATGGTGTAACATCGTCATTATTCAGATAGTTATTCTGTGGATTGGTGTTTGATAAACGGGTTGGTTGGTTTTTTGGGCTTAGACGTGAATTTCTTGGTGGTGATACGTTTCGTCCGAAATTTTCCTGTCCATTTTGCGCGTAATTGTTGCGTCGACGATCTGTCTGGCGCTGTTGATTATTATATCTTTTATTGCTGTTGCGCCGTTGTATTGGTCTTGAGCTCTGGTTTTGTCCATTTTCGGATCGCGGATCTCGACGCTTTTCACCAGCATTTCGTTGATTTTGATTCAAGCTTGGCGAAACAACAGGATGAACCGAATTTAGCGAATTCTTACGCGATGACGGACGACTTGTTTCTTGAGACTTTGAAGAAATATTCTTTTGTGATGGATTATTTGCAATGAGAATTTCCTGATGATTTGGTTGTGTAAGATTATTATTTTCAGTTTGATTTTCTGCACTTTGTTCGTGATCAGTAATTACTTGCGATGGAGGATTTGTCGTAATGGAGGCTTGCTTTAGATTTTCATTATCATCATCTACAGAAGATAACTGCTGGTGTTGGTCAGCAATTTGTTCAATGGTGACTACCGGTTTTGGTGATTGCGCATTTGCTTCTGTTTTGGGCAAATTTTCGGGTTGTTGTGATGGATCATCATTATGAGGAAGCAATATTTGCGTTTCATCAGCAGGAATGATGGCCGGAGAATTTTCAGGTTGTAGTGATGGCTCATTATTAGGAGGAAACAGCTGTTCATCAACAATATGGCGTAGTGAGTTTTGGAAATCTGATGGATTATTATTGTCGACTTGCTGTGAAGACAGATGTTGACTGTCGTTGTCTTCGTGGTAATTTCCATCGAATATTTCTGGCGAATCGTTATTGATCTGCGTAGCAGCGTTTTCATTTAGGGATTCATCACCTATAAACCCAGAAAAATATGAACTAGTAAATTCTAAACAAAACATTTAAAAATAGTTATACGCGTGAAGTACATACTTTCAATATCTTCATAATAAGAATGTTCTACTTGAAGATCATTATACTGAATAGGAACTCTTTCTTCAATGTCATCGTCTTCTGAATTGATGATTTCGTCAAAATTTTCGGGTATTGGTGGGTTGATGGCGAGGGAGAGGATATTAGAGTCTATAGATAATACAACATGGAATTAATATGTAAAATAAATCTTGAACATAGATAGATTAAAAATGGAATAGTTTTTACATGAAATTCCAACACTCTCATCCTCAACTCCATTAATAGTAACAGGTCTATGCACTATTACTTTGTCGCCCTGATGCAATTTCTCGACATGGGCCATAACTTCGCGGATCGATTGCTCTTTTCTCTCTTCTATCGAAGCCTCCCCGACAAGATGATTTAATAAATCGCGGAAGTGGGTGACCGCTTCATTCTCAATTTCTGCCAACTGCACAATACTAACGTTTTGATAATGTATTAAACGGAAGAATCGGAGAAGACTTAAAATAGAACCCGAGTATAAATCCTAAGAAATAAAATGAATTTTTGATTTTGTATGAGCAATAATGAAAATTTTTCACAAGCAAAAAAATGACCAAAAGCAATTACCTTCGTTTGTTTGACAGCCTCGGCAATGGATTCTTCATGCTTAATTTCTTGAGCCTTCTTTTGGTTCTTCACATTCTCGAGTTCCTGTTAAATTAAGAAATGCTTCAAAAATGTTTCAAAAAATCAAAATTGGTAGATGAAAACACAAAGCAGACATACTTCATTTTCAACAGAATTTAAGCTTTTTATGATCGACTCTAATTCTTGTATAGCGAATTCGACGTTATCTTTCAGCTTCAATGTCTGAAGTTGATCTGGGTTTAGTGTCTGGTCCCCCGATCTCAGTATTTCTTCATATTGAAGATGCTTCATCTTTGGAATCAAATAATAAATAAAGAGTGTAAGGTCAGTCAAGATTCTTACTGACATTTCATTATTTAAAGGTTATAATTTCATAGAAACGCGTAAGTACGCCTTCGCAAAATAAACATTCACCCGTCGTTTTCCCAAAGATCGAAGTCTTTTCTGGACCACTTCAACATATGGGTTTTTGCTGACGTTTTCCGTACCAAGCTTTTCTTCTCTGTTTGCTAACGCCATTTCACCAGGTGTGGCAGGCTTCTCAGCTACAAGCGCGAATTTCTTATCCACAGGCTGTTCTCGTTTATTAGTATTGTCAGTGTTATCCGGGGTATTATTCGTAGCAGGAGTTAATTTGCTTTTCGTTTTATTGGATTTTGTGGTATTTTGCTTTGATTTGTTTGGCATTGTGAATGTTGTGAATAGAGAATAAGTATTTCGTTAAAAGATAAAAGTATTTCGTTAAAGATAAAAAAAAGTGGATGCAGCCTGAGTCATTTTAAATAAGGATAGTCACGTTGATTTCATTTAGGAAAGTCACGCTGTTGCCGACGATCGGAAATGATACGCAAGATATCTATCACTAACCGATTAATTTACGCGGTTAACCGGTTTATATCGATTAAATGATAACACCAATGTGTTATGATTAATTTAATATAGAAAGTATTAACCATTTAACCGGCTTTGAGAAAATTCTTAACCGGTTGGAAGAGATAAAGAAATCTAGATCAATGTATTAGATAGAAAGGTACATGTTTGACACGACATCAAAAGATAATATTCTAAGCAAAGATCATTTCATTTTGCACACACACTCAAAGGTCAGGTAAGACCTTATTAACTCGTTGTATGAATAAAACTGGCCAATCGACAAAAAAAAGGGAAAAGTGAACTTCAATCTTATACAAAACCTTAATGTTACAACATCTATAGAGGCGCTTGTAGAAAGCTATACGATCAAACCTCGTTAAACCGAAGCATTAATTAAAACTCGATATAATTTGATCGTAACGATTGATTTCAATTACTAAAACAGGAAATGTCTATTCTCTTCAAAACTTTGTAATGAATCTAGGAGTTTCTTTGCAGATCTAATAATCAAGTTTATTTTTTAACGTTACAAGTTTCTGACCAACAAATTATTAATTGAAGAAATTACGATTTATGAGCAGTTGTAGCAAAAGAAGAGTGAATGTAAATTAAATTATTATGAATATTCCAAAATTACGAATTAAACTAGAATTACTACACTACTCTCATTAATTATTAATTAATATTATTATAATTTTCTAATGTTTTTTCTTATTCCGCCTAAACATATTTTGCAAATACACACCTATTGGATTACGTCGCCATGAACCCCTCACATGCAATAGAATTAACCAGGATATAAACCATAACGATGAGAAATATAATACGTATGTGTATCGAACGCCGTATAAAAGTGTGTATCCGGTAATTAGAATTAGAATAAAATTGGTTATTGATCGGAATCTGCTTTTTGAAATGAAACCATCATTACGATAATGAGAAGAATGGTTCGATAAAATTTCGTAAACACACGTGAATAAAATCAATTTACCTTCCAGTTTTCCTGGGTAACATTTTGCCACTAGTGACAATTTCGACATAGAATATGATGGGTGCGATGGCGAATAAATTATGGTCGGAAGAAAAGGGTGCAAACCAATGTACCGATAAATTCCTTATCCATACCATCAGAACGGGAAAATTGAAGGGTAATAACATGAATAACAGCATTAAAATTGATTGTAGATAATGATAATGGTCCCATCGTTTTTGTATACTCGCTGATTTGCTCTGTTTGCTCTGTTTGCTCTATCGTAAAGGATGTTAATCGAATTTATCAATGATGTCGGTTAAAATCAAAATAATATATTTATTCTTACCACTGATCTTGCTTCAACGAGAGATCGTACACAAGAGACAATATGCACCAAAAATGCAACCACAAAAGCAAATTGATATGGCACGAAAGATGCCACCAAAATAAATAATATTATCGTTGTGATAATGCGGCGGCGGTTTCTTGATGTTTTGGATTCTTGAGGCCTGTGGTCGCAATAATATTAGTAATAGAAATAATTTAAATATATTTCAAATAAAAATCAAAGGTTCTTGCCTGCCGACGAATCTAGCAACTGACGGCCTTCTTTGACTAATGAATGATGTTATACTAGCCAACGATCTCACAAGAATTGATAACAGTGCATAACAAAATGCTGTAATGCCCACACTCATAAGAAAGAATAAGGGCGGTAAAAACCAAAAAAATGGATCATGATTTCCCAATAATGTATCGTTCACATTGAATGAAGCTTTTGCTTTAATAACTTTATGCATGTCTCCTGGCGTAGTGTCTACAGGAAACAGATCTGCTAATGAATAAGTTTTCGATGCTCGAGTGACAGACTGATAAATGGATAAACAAGATATCATTAAAAGAAAAATTGGCATTGTTTGGCTAATAAATAGATGCAATGCGTGACCAAAACTGTAGAAAGGTTCTATTATGTGAATAAAGAATCTTAAATTAAATTCGAATTAATAATTTTATTAACCTTACAAAGAAATAAAGAAAAAAATTACCTCCACGATTATACTCTCTTATTTGCGCTCTGAGTGTTAATATAACGACCATAAAAGGAAATGCGACCAAAACTGTTTGGAATCGCATTACGATTTTACCCAAGCTCCCGTACAAATCAAATTCAATATCTAAAGATAATGGGGCGTGACACGTAGGATCCATCCAGAATTGCAATTCGAGCCCTCTACGTAGATGCGGCGCACTCACAGGTGTAACAAAAGGAGCTTGTCCATGGATGTTGATATCTGCATGTTTGATGTTCACAAGAAATTTCGACTCATACATAGACGAAATCGACTGACGAAGGAACGGAGCAAAAAGGCCATCTTTGATCGTTGAAAATATGTATTAAATCTTGTGATGTTTCTTGTCTTTTTTTTTAAAAAAAGCTATAATTTCAGAAAATATTTACCAGAGCATCCATGTCGATTAATAGTCATTTTATATGTCAAAAGGCTACTGTCAATAATCGGTATCCGTAAAACTGAGACAAGTGAATGATTTTCAGAGACAGCATCAACATGTATTCCCTCCATAATTAATTCTAACAGAAAATATTTTAAAGTTAAAAAAAACTCGCAAATGCATAGACAAAAAATACTATTGTTAATAATCTCAAACCTTTGATAGAGGTATCAAGAGAATTAATTGTCGAGTGCTCGTCATAAAATTCAGCCAATAGAAAACCACCAGTCCCTTTTCCATCTTGATCAATTATGGCTATATATTGATAATCTCCCAAATCTTTGACCTTCAATTTTAAAAAACTAAATGTTCTTCCGGAATATGGGTATTCATCATCTTTCCCCGAAGCTGGAACAGCAATAGCATCACCGGATGCAATATGGCATGACAATCGGGGAGCTGTGGATAAAACTATATTATTGGTGGAAGAATTATTTTTAATTGATTCGCGCACTTCTGTAGGCATGATATCACATAAAAGCACATCGACAAGGGAATCTTTTCCAAGTGATTGATCCGTCAACAAGGAAAATGTATTCAGGGTAGAGTGAGGAGCTGTCGGAGGTATAGGCATCAAATGAACTTTTGGTGCTGATCCCAATTTTTCCAATACTAATCTTTGACCCATGTCCAAAAATGTATTTGAATCTTTTTCCAGACTTATTATTCCAAATGGTTCTTACATAAAAGAAATAAATATTCGTAAGCATTAAAATTTCCATGATCAATATTATTGCATGAATACATAGAATTTAAAATACCTAATTTTTTCTTTGGAGCTTCAATTTCGGGAAACCCGACTTCTAATCCAGTTAACAGAAACTTTCTAAATATCGACATTCTTTCTGAAATAGTTTTTGTTTGACTAGCACGTCTAATATCAACAATGTTCAATAAAGTATTAGCTACAACTTTTACAAATTGATTACACCAAAGTATACATTGATGATCCATCGAAGTCCACACAGTAGGAATGGATGTGGTGAAAACAGTAAATCCATGTGAAGCAGGCACCAACGAATTTATATTAGCTGAATCAGAACAGACTATTGTGTCAAGAGTTCCACCGGCAATTGAAATTAATGTGACGTCTGATAAAGAGTTTGATGGAGACGCATTACTCGAATATCCATTTCGCCAAAATTCATTAATATCCGTATAGATTTTGCTAATCTGCCAATCAAAAGGAGCTGGCGGTAAAAGGTGCGGTGTTGCCATAGTCAATATTGTATTTATTGAGCCTGGTTGATAATTTGGCATAGTGAAGAGGGTACGTGCAACAACTCCGCCCATCGAATGACCAATTATGATTACTGAAGCAGGGTCAGGATGTGGTTGAGATGGATGACTATATTGATGCTTTCGTACAGTTGGATACAAAGATAAAATATATCTAATCGCGTCGTTGAGATATTCAGCTTGTTCCAATAATGAATGTCCATGAAATGCCGAAAATTCCTCATTAAAATCAACTATTTTAAGATAGTAAAATTAAAAGAAAAAGAGCTATTCAACTGTAAACGATTGAGCACCGCAAAAAAATTCAATAGTGTCATGTTTGCCGGGCATTTGAACTCGGTACCTGTAAAAAAATCAATTCCTCGAACACCTTGTTCCCAATGTTTTGGTTCTTGAGACATCGATTCATAATATAACACTGCAGTTTCAGCTGCAATTGATCGCACCTGTTTATAACTTCCAGCATTTCCCGGTATAAATAACGCAGGAATTCCAGTTGGCTATTTAAAAAAAATCCAGTTATCTTTACTTTAACCAAACTCGAAAACTCCATAGTCACCTAAAATTTAAATACCTCTTCACTAATATCTAAGCCCAATTCTCTGTATAAATATAGGCCATATTTTCCGGCAAATCTAGTTTGTTCGCTATCAAAGCCATTTTGCTTTATGAATGAAGGACGCATATAAGATACAAGACAACCCTTCGAATCTTTTTGATGGTTTAAAAATGAATCTAATGTAGCTCCCAATAAAACGATTGTAACAATAAATATGATAAAGATTGATATAGAGCAAGATAACGAGGCGGAAGCATGCCCTGTCAAAGATTTATGTGGTGATTTTTGGTTTTGATGTAATTTTCGTTTTGGAGGTGATGAGTGGTTAATGTTGTTATTAAGAATGTTATTATTAAGGAGAGATGCTTTCTCTAACGAGGTAGGAGTAGTTGGTGATGAGGTTCTTTCTCTTGGCTGTTGACGACTTGTGTCGTCAACGGCTGAGGCGGAATCTAATATTCGTGATGTTTCGAGCTCTAAACGGGTGGAGCTTATTTCGAGTGTTTCGCACTCATCTGCATCGCGGACACCCATTAATAGATTAGTGTTTTTTGGGAGTTACAATATGCCTAACTACGTTTTTCTCACTTTAACTAATCCGCTTTGCTCGAAACATGGGACGAGCGTACCATGTGCCTCAAAATCAGTTGTTATTTGTAAAAGATGTTATATGATAAGTCTTTTGGAAGTTTGAAAGCCTTGTGCACACGGATCTGTCAACACTTTAGATCGTTTGTATGTTGGTATGTTGGTATGTTGGCACGTTGGTATGGATACTATATCGATATATCAAATGTTTTTAAAAATGGCTGTGAAGAGTTAAAAATAGAAAAAATTATTTCATTTGTTAGACGACTAATGCTAATAATTCTGACCAAAATTACAGAAAATTAACTTTGTAACGTATCCAAATTTGAAATTTTACTTTTTAGACACGACACGCGTAATTATTAAAAGAAAATGACTGAGGAAGAAAATCCTGCGGAAAAAATGGAAAAACTACTTGACACGGTATGCAGCTAAAAATTAGAGTACTTCGAAAAAATCTAACAAAATGATAAATATTTGACTAAAAACATTTTTATACATTTCTAGCTTGACGAATTGAGAGCTTCGGTGAACCAAGTGTGCAATTACTTTGAGAGGCTGTGGCCGGTTGAAGAAAAAATTGAAGAGGAGGAAGAGGAGGAAGAAAAACAAGAAGTGAACTTGAGCTTTTCAGGAAAAGGTACTCGTTTAATAAAAGTTATAAGATTAATAGACATATCAATAATTTCATTAATTATAGGTGATGAATTGGCACAAATAAGAAAAGTCTTATTTCATGGACAAGGACAATCCTTTGATAAGAGTGTCTCCCACAAACTGGCCAAATTATGCGAAGACGCAGAAAACTGCGTTGATAGATTCGAAAAATTGCTGTACAATTCAAAAAGTAAAAAATTGAATAAGAAAATTTAAAGTGTTTCATTCAAGTTTTTAGTTCTTGATTCATATTATTTTTTCTTTTAGATGAATTTCAACATGCCGAGGATACAGCGTTAAAATGGGAAATTAATCCGCCGAAATTGTAAGGATTTTTAGTTAATTTATCACTTTTCGCATATTCACATGTTCTATGGTTTATTGCATTCTAATTAAAATATAAAGCATAACGGGATCAGGATTTTATGAAACACCAAAAAGATCATCAAATCATGTTCAAGAAATGCAAAGTAATACGCAGTTGGCGAAAAGGTATATTGCCATTTTATTTCAACTAACACATATTATTCTTTTCAATATTTATTTATATAAGAAAATTAATTAATTAAATGATCAGTTGTTTTCAACAAAAATATAACATCTATTTTAAATCTCGAAAATTTATTGAAGATTATGAGATTTCGTCTGATAAAAAAAGAGATGACGCAAGGTTGGCTTGAAATTATTTTTTTTGATCAATTCTTTGGTTCGTTACAAGATCGTAATTAATGCTATTGCTTTAGTGAATTACCTGAGATTCTTGATGCATGGCTGTCTCGCGCAAAAAAAGATCGAACTTATCACGTAGAATTGGAAAAAATTGGAACAGATGCTAAAGGACGATTACAAGGATTCATGGTGATTAATTGTTTCAGGAATGCTATGATTATCTTTTAATCATCACTAAACTGAATTATATTTTCAGGTCTCCTTGAATAATGTAATAAAAGCAGGCGTTTCGTTGACTTATGAGGCGAATTATGACTCCACTATATTATTAGTTTCTCGTGTAGCAATATTTGGATATTATGAGAAGGTAGGTTTGAAATAAGCCACAAAATATCAATAGTTATATATTGATATTGATATCTCAAGGGATCGGGATGCTTAATGGTAAAACTCTAATTATAAAGAAAAAAATACATGAATCGTCCGATATTCTTCTCTTTCAACGAATCACACAACTTGCAATTAATATCTTACAACAACTCGATCAAAAAAATATTATAAACGAACTATTGGTAATATTCCAACTTTCTTTTTTTTCCGTTTCTAGCATATTTTTTATGAATATAAATTTTATTTATTTACAAATAGGATTGGATATCCAATTATCATGACCTATTCTCAGTTCGGTGTCATAAATGTAGGAAATTTCTTGCCTTTCAAAATCCCGACGATAAATTCCTACTGCCAATTTGGCGAATTACATCAGAACAAGATGGTCGAATGCTGCCGTATCATGGAGGATGTTTGACTGGTGTAGTGTTATTTGAAGAGTGATACATAAATTAGTAATGATTTGCTTATTGCACATGATTCTCTTTTTATTGCACATGATTCCCGATATGTTTAGACTCTATTGTGACGTAATAAATGTATACAAAAAAGAAGCTGCAATGCATCAACTCAATTTTATGCACAGCTAAAGTTGAACTCATTTCTAAATCTTTTTCCTTCAATTTACATTAGTTAATCAATATATATTTTTTCGAGCAGAATTTAGCTATCAATTTAAAAAATGTCTTCGAAGGTAACCACAAAAGATTCTGTGCCAACACATATTTTGAGATTATATAATGCATTTTAACCGTAAGAGGAATATTTGGTCTATTAATGTGTTTGTCTTTTAAAAGTCAAAATCTAAACAACCTTCGCTGAAATCAATTTCCGCTACTGATGGTAAGCCTTCTATCGTGTCTTTATCCGTATATTTACTGTATTTAAAATGTTATTATAATATTTTTTTTGTCTCGTTCAAATATCTTAGAGTTGAAATATAAGCGAAAATACAAAGAATTAAAAAAAAAAATTAGAGAAATGGAAGAGGTTTATTAATATTGGAAATTCGATTATGAATTCTTTGATTTTGGATATTCTCAAATAAGGCGAATAATAAAAATATTCATCATTTTGAATTTAAGGAAAACGAGAAACTGACACTGAAACTGACCAGAGCCAAAAAGAACATACAACGCTTACGAATAGAGCGCAGGTTAGATGCATGTCAACCTCAAATCCCATAATAGGCGTGGTTGTTTTTCGAGATCGTGCAACTCAATTTCATTTTAACGAATCACTATTCGAATTTTTCTTGGAATTAGTTTTCTATTTGATCGGTTAGAACAGTCACAGCAAACCAATGAATCTGATTCAGAAGGATCCTCACAAGCTGAAGGAGAATCAAATGAGGACTTAACATCGGTCAGTAGTAATAGTGATAATGATGGCTCACAATCAATGTCCATTGAGAAGCAATAGGTGGTGGTGTGCTCTTGCTTGCATGACTGATTGAATACGACAATTTTTCCAAGCAACGATCATTCATTACATCATTTTGTCATGTCGAGATGAAAATTTGGAATCTTTGGTGGTGTTTTGTATTTTGAATCCTGGCAAATGTATTATTTTCAATGATTAAAATTTAAATTTGCGCACTTCCATTCTCAAAATGAAGCTTTTTTTTGCACCTTTCTAAATAATAAATAATTTAATTTGGATAATACTTATTTAAGCCATCTGTTGTTTTTCACAATGATAAGTCACCACAAAATTTTACAAAAATATCAATCATATTCTATATGTATATACAAAAAAAAACACGTCACACGCAAGTAAATTAATTCAATCTTGTCAATTTAAATTAGTCAGAAGAGGAGTCGAACGAGGCGCTCGAAGAGGAAGAGGAGGATCAACGAAGCAGAAAGCGAAGACGTGCAGTCACAAAAGATCCCAATGCGCCAAAACGACCACGAAATGCCTTCTTGATTTATTGCAAGGATGAACGAGAGCAGGCTAAAGAAGAAAATAAAGGCTTTCAGAATGTTACACGAATCCTCAGTCAACGGTGGAAAGATCTTTCGGCTGAAGAGAAAAAGGTTGGGCTATTTGCATTTTTTTCAAATTTAATGGATTTATGTATTGATGTTGCAGAAAATTAATGTCACATTTAACCACAATCAAAGAAATACTTCGACAAATATGATAAAGAAAAACAGCGTTATGAAAAAGAAATGTCCTCATACGTAGGGACATCTGCGAGTGGGACAAATTCCATTGCCATTCCTAATACACAGGAGGAAGATGATGATATGGAAGATGAAGAAGCCTCATTAGCAGCAACTGATAATAATAATAATAATAACAATATTAATAATAATAATAGTAGTAATAATAATAATAATAATAATAATAATAACGATAACAACAACAGCAACAACGACGACAACAATAATAGTCGTCAAGCCAGTAATTTTGGTGATGATGATCCTCCAAATCCTAATTCTAATAGTAAGCAGCAACGTCCAGACGCAACATCCGTAACATTAGATACTACAGGATTGCATCAGAAACGTAAATATCGTAAATCGCGAGATAATCATATAGAACAATTTAAAAATAATTCAATGGTAAATACTAGTAATAATGTTAATACTGTTCACAATAACGATGATGATAAAATAGGAATAGATGAGGAAATAGAGGAAAATTTGGACGAAAACGACGAAGAGATGAGTGAAGAAATTGATCAATTAAGGGACGATATTGATGAAAATCGGAAAAGTGTGGAAGATGAGGAATATGAGAATAATGAAGCTGAAGACAATGCTATTCTAGAGGATAATGGCGGAACGGGAACAGAAACAGAAAATGAGGATGTCTACTAGATTTTATTAATTTAGAATGAATTCCGAATAAAGTTATCGTTCATTTGTAAAACTCTGTAATTTCAATGACTTATCTAAGTCAAATTTTGGCCTAGCTCTCAGAAATCTTGTATTAATGAAAAAAATTAGATTTCTTTTATATTTATTCATGACCGATATCATCAAATAATGTAATTTATTGGGTGGTTATAGTATTATAAAGGTCTCCTCTGAAAACAAAAAACGATTATTGTTTCAATAAAGCAAATTCTGATTCGTGCTTCATTTCTAACAAACTTCAAAGGAACAATTTGCTCAAAAAGCCGCCATAACTCTCATATCTTCAATTTTCTTTTGTATCTCGGAAGGTTGTCGATCAAATTCTGCTGCAATCATTTTCTTTTTTTCCATGGGCAAAAGATTATATTGCTCACATAAATCGCCATCTATCACGCTTTTCACTGGCGTATAAAAGCTTCGATACTGTAAATGATCGCGACCTGCTAAAGGTGGTGCTTCATTACGCATGTGCATTTCTAAGGTTTGGAAAAATTCAACATCTTCGCGTGTTATAAATGGAACGAAAACGCCTATACTCCCCATCAAGCCAGTATACACTAGAATTTCTCGACCCCCTGCGACAAGAGTAGTTCGATGAAGGGATACTATAAGATCTCCGACATGATAGTGTGCAACTAACGAAACCTATAACAAATTTCTCTGTGTATTTAAAACGTGCTCTTTAACTTAATAAACACGTGCAAATCATACAAATATTTAATCATACCTTATGTGGCGCACCCATTAGATATCCTTTCTCGTACATGATTTTGTTCCCGGTAGGATCCTCGTCTACTTCTTCGCTAGTTTCTGATGGCAAACGATCAACGAAAAAATTACCAAATTTATCTCCGCTTGCTATCGTATCATAGTCTACCATGGTGGTGGTTGTAATCCATCGCTGTGTCGTGTCATCGGCAAATATAATAATGCGGTTATCGTGTAGTCTATATGAGGCATAATGAACGGATTCTTGCATATCACTTATAATTATGCGATTTCCTTGCGTATGTAAATCGACAACACAATTAGGGATGGCCTAATAAAATAGGTAGACAAATTTTAGTAGGAAGGATAAATAAAATGATAAAGTTTATAATACCTTTGATTCACATTTACGTAACAACTTGCGTTTTCCAAAGTCATATATCCTCAGAGCTTTTCCAACACCAGCAAGAAGCCTACCTTGAAATCCGAGTAATGCCATTGGTATATCATCACAAGGAGTCTATATTTGAGAAAATCGAGTCATGAGACGGGTTGGACAGCAAACATATGAAAATAAACCAAATGAATTAAACCTTATGCACTAATTCTAACGCGTTTCCTTCATCTACGAAGCGGTATACATGTAAAAATCCAGATGAGCATGTCCTTGGTGCGAGATTAGCGTCTTTGGCGGTGCCAACTACAAGAAATAGTTCATTATTTTGATTGTGGAAATTCACAGTAGCAATACTTTTACAATAATGATAAAAAAATCAATATAATTATAAAGTAATTAATTCACTAAACACAGTTCAAATATCTATGATTAGATACCTAAAAGCCGCCTCATTGTCTTCGAGTTCAATGAGAGACATAGTAGTGCCTTTGAAAGGGTTCAAGACTCTGATGCACGAGGCCCATTTTCCAGGCTCTGATTTTGGCAAACCAAATATTTCCGGCGGTAAATCTACAATAGCCGGATCAAATGCAACCCCCTGGCTAATTTTTGCGTCCAACGCTTTCTTTTTCTCCGAGGGAGAAAACGTATTATGCTCGGACTCAAGAATGACAAAATTTCTCGAGGGCAGATGTAGAACAAAATGTCGCGGTGTGTATTTAAGAGGGATGGAAGCTTGATTAAAGACAGTTCCTAGCTTTTCTACTGCGAAGATTCGAAGTGTGTTTGATGAGATGGCGACTATTCCTTCGGGCACTTGTGGAGAGGTGAAATTTGATCCGTATTCTAATGAGTCGTAGGAAAGTGGGGTAAGATGAAGACGTGATTGAAATGTGTAGCTAAGCCAAGGACGACTGGATAATGCCAACACAGCAGGATTTCCTTGAATAGTCACTTGAAATAGTTTAACAGGACGAGCTCCAAGAAATCTAAAATTCAAAGTTTGATTAGAATATAAGATAAATCCACTTAAAACTATCAATTAAAGAATAGGGTACCTTTGTCGAGTATCTGTCAAATCACCAGTAATCGTATCTAATACCGTTCGTAATAATACACCATTTAATAATCCAATATTTAAGTAGAGAGTTCCGTGTGTCGAATCTGTTCCAATATCCATCATCTCGATGATCGATAAAGAGTATGGCGGAGCACTTAGAGCCTAAAGAATTATAAATATAATCAAGTTAATTCTAAAATTAAAAACCTATATATTTTTCCGGTATAAGAATACCTGTGTACTAAGTATATCCAATGTATTGTCAGGATCAAGAGAAAGTATTCTAACAGTATGATCATCGCATCCAACAGCCTTAATATATCGAAAATTATAATAACGTCAATTTTTCAGCTGAAAACGTAAGATTCATAGAAAGTACTATACACACCAAGAAACGCGATCGTTGTCTTCCTTCGGGAACTTCACCGAGACTGAGACAAGAAACATTTGCACCCATCTCTTTACGATCTTGATATTCATTTAATTGTCCTTGGGCATCCAGTTCAAAATATACTAACTCACCACCCGTAAGTGCTATCACAACTTGTCGTTTATTAGTGGTTGCTTTGATAATAGCTCTATTACCGGGTGTTTTCCACTCATTTACACGTCGATCAGCACGAATATGTCGAATTCCTTGTGGATATATCTTTTATGTATAGCATTAAGTAGGACAAGTTATAAACTATATTTAAATGTTAGTATTAAAAAATTAGAATAAATATACATACCTGTAATAAAGCGTCATCACCTAATTGATGAACATCCAAAGTTGGGGTTGTAGATAAAAATCCAGTATCAGTAACCTCTTCCACGGTTTCCCCAATTGATAATACCAAGGTAGCGTTTACAAACGAAACGATAATATATGCGTCAAATAGATCTATTGAATAGAAAGAATATTTAGCAAAAACTCAATATTATTTCGGATATAAAATTAATCGCTTTACCATCCGATCTTAGTTTAGTTGTCCATACAGCGTTTGGGTTACCAGGCAATTCGGATACCGCCATTTCTGATACCTCCAATCCGTGTTTTAATATTCGAAATGAAGATCCGGCGCCTCTTCCACATAAAGCATATAACTGTGGCGTGTCATCGTCAGTGAGATTCAACACCTGTGATTAATGGTCAATAATATGCATATGTTTTCGAAAAGTTAATTAAGGCCATCCTTTGTGAACAGAACAAGAAGCATAGAAAATACATAGTTATCAATTAATACCTTTGCATCAATCAAAGGATTCAGACTTTCCAATTCATCAGCGCGTTCCAAGTTTTGCAAATCTCGCGGTGTAAAATAAACAGGCGTCATATCGCGACCAATGTCGACGAAATCTTCGCTCGACCATTCAGGTTCATCATTATCGTCACCGAGACTTGTAAAAGAATATAATCGACTGAAGAAATGTGTGCATGTTGACAAGGAAAAGTTATACTATAAGGATGCTAAAGGCAACCAAGAGAAAGTAGTCGACGACATACTGATTTCCGAATTCGGCCGCTACAAATAAGAATCCAGCCCTAAGTATACACAACGAAGCCGCCACGGGCACGGAATCAAAATACTTTATTTTAATGGCGTTCACCTTATCGTCTTCATAATCAAGGGTGACTTTATATATATCACCTTCTTCACTTTGAAGCAAAAAGAAGAAGACACCTTTCATTTTATGCATTACTCCGGCTACAATAATAAGCCCACGTGATTTATCTTCGAGAGGGTTTCTGCGTCGTGGAATTGGAACACGTAGTTCTTCGACACGTTGGTGCTTGTATGAAATAAAGTTCTCGGTGCAGACTAATACCCCGGAGGGTCCATCATTGCCACCGGGAACTAAAAGTAAAAAGCAATAAGCAATATTAAAAAATAGTGACACGATTGATGTAAAATTTTATTAACACTTACCAGGAAACAACAAGTTTGCTCTCTCGTCTACAGGATCACTCCATTTTCTGACCACATGATTGAGACCAAGATCAAGTTCGTAATATGTTAACATCTAATTTATATCAATACATATGCCTGGTGGTATTCAATTATTTAATAAAGATTTATTTGATTGCGATTTCACGATACCTTTTCCGTATTATTAAAGGCTTCCCCTGTGGGATCAAGATCTGCTTCTGAATAATCAACTTCCAAACACGCAAACACTGGATTCTCATAACCAACATCTAGTCCTATACAATGATGCACTAATGTATGGGATTTGTGAGCTTCGAGTGGCGATGAAATTGTGAGATTTGCAGCAGAATCTCGGTTCAAAATATAGACAAGTTTTTGCTTTTCAATAGCACCTGAATGATTTTAATTTTATTCTTAGCGTAAAGAAATAAATTTTGATCATGGTAGAAAAGAGACTTTGAATACCAATCATAACAGATCTTCCTTTAGGATCTACAGCCAGATATTGTCCAGGAACAATACGCCTACAACCAGATTTTCCAAATGTCTCTTGGTGAACTTTTTCAAATTTATTTCTTGCGGGATTATACTCCAGAATTACAATTCGTCCGGAATCAGACCCAACAATGATGTAGTCTTTTTAATGTATCGATACGAAACTTTAAAGCACGCAATAAAATTAAAACTTTCATCCCATATTTGACAGAACCACAGTGTACCTTTTGATCCGCCAGTCAATCTAAACGGTGTCAAAGATCTTATTATACCAAACACGTCATGTGTTAATAGTACTTGCATTTTACCCGTGTTTTGGTCAGCTCTCAAAAGTTCCAACCGGGTTACTCTCGACACGACAATTTCTTGTTGTTTGGTGCCAGAAAAATGACCCACCACAGCCACGTTTATAGCTGTTGGTGCTTGTAAAGAAAGGTTGTAGAGAAACATGATTCTTATTTCAGTAATAGTTAGTTAGTACTTTCTTTTCGCGCCCCGAATAATTTTATTTTCGATCTGCAGTCACGTTTTTCGTTGTCGATTTTGTGTTGATCGATTTTTTATAATGTTGGAATTTGAACAAATAACGATTACATGTATATAACATCTTTTATATATATATATATATATCCGAAATGTTTTGGAACTAATAAAAGAACTTGTTTTATTCTTTATTGTCACAGAAACACATTTGTGTCATAAAAACTTTGGCTCTGTATTAATTGAAAATGAATTCTTTAACGAAAAATTTCACATAGGACCCCAGATAACATTAAAGAATTAAATTATTTATTAATTGTCATGAAGAGCAATAATATTTTACCATTTATTCTATTGTTTTCGTCGCACGTCATTTATTATATTCTAATTAATCAGTTTTATTAAGGGAAAAAATGCCAAAAAGAAACAATTATTCCAGGACTAATTATAAATTTCCAGCTAACAAAGCAGCAATCATCAACCCAGCAACCAAAACTTTTTTCAAAGAAAGTGATGTTCTAGGGGCCGAAGAAGGCGGGCTAAAAGTACTAAGGGGCGTAATGGTAGGAGTACTAGTATTAGTTGACAGCTGCTTTATTATTCCGCACGCGGTTTTTATATCATCACCTTGGGAGGTAGCAGACCGGTTCTTCAGTAATCCAGACTGTTTGAAACAGTCGAAGCAAGTGCTGTATGTGTCAAGAAAAGTCGGTGTGCACACACATTTTGCTATTGGTTCAATTATTTCCGGGAGCGAGATGTCTCCTGTAGCATTCGCATTCGGAAATAATCCGCTCTCTGCAAGACCATTTTCAAGAATAGTACTTATTATGGCTTTCGTTTCTTCTGTGTTGTCAGTCACATTGAAACAGCCAGTTATGTTTCTAGATTGTGCTAGACAAGTTTGGCATGTGGGCACTTCATCTGGGAAGATCGCGGTGAGGATAGATGTAGGAATTGCAAAAGACGTAGGAATAGATGTAGGAAGAGAAGTAGGAAAAGATGTAGGGATTGGATAAGACTTAGTATTTGGATAAGCAGATCCAGATGTTGAAGTTGCTACAGAAGCACCAGCTGCAGTTGATTTTGGCATTTTTTGAAATTTTATTTGAACCGATTATTATTAGACAGACGAAAAAAATGTATGCTCGAAAAAAATTAATTTTTTTTTAAAACCCAAATAATCTGAATTATATAGAATAATTGGGTCACAAGTCAAGTCATAAATTCTTTTAAAGAATTCTTTCATACGTTATTATTATAAAGAGAAAGAGACTAATTGCCATATTTCGTTGCTTCCTTCTGATGATATTCTAAAATCATGATCTTTCGGCATGTTATTCGCGTTATTTTCTATAGATATTTCTATACTAAGAAATGTGGTTCATGCTGAAATATACAACAAAATAGTATGAGATAAATTTGTATTTTATCACAGAAATTATAATAATTTTGGTCGGATTGATCTACAGATCTGCAAAATTCAGGATTTTCAGCATGTTTCATTATTGATCCCCTACAATAAATATTAAATTACTAAATTTGGATAATTTCGGCACTTTTTTTTAACGACAATTCAATTCCAATAAAAATATTCCATAATTAGCTCAAATTGAATAGACTCTCCAGTTGAAAAATGACAAATTTCAACAACTTTGAGAAATTGTCCTTGTGCATTTAATTTAGCAATATTGTAGCACTGGAATCGATTTACGGCGTTTGTGACGGAAGAATTAAGTTCGAGCGGAAATCAAATTCTCTATTCTATTTGCGCGTATTAAAATTTGTTTAATATAATTCAAATCATCGAAATTCATCTTTCAGCTATTTCTACAATAACATTAATGACATTATACAATTTATAAATTAAGTTACGTATGATGTATCAAATTAAAATTACTAACTAAATTTTTCAGCGGTGACACGAAAAACTATATGAACAAGACAAGGTCACCTAGAATCATAATTCGACCAAATATACATTGTTTATATGAAATAACAGAAATTTCGATAAATGATTCTTTACGATTTTACGCTTGAGACTCCGATTGCGATTGTGATTGCGATTGCGATTGCGATTGAAACTCTTCTTTCACCCTCTTCTTCAATTCTTGGTACGATGTTGCCTCCTTATACGCTATTCCAGCTCTCATCACCGCAGCCAAACCCGTAAACATAGCATTTGCAACCTTCTCGTGCACATTATATTGCTCATCAATCTCCAACGCCAAGGTCATTCCAGTTCGAGAGATTTCCCATGCTTTGTCCTGCAGCCCATAAGTCTCATCGACTTGCTTGAATTTTTTCATTGTGTAGTTTATCGTGGCGGATATCGCGTCAGGGATTGGAGATTGTTTTAGCGCAACGGCGGAGTTTATTGCTCCACTGATTATGTATTCAGAAATGGAGGGACCGGATTGGTTAGGTTTCTCGTGACATGGCGTTGTTGGGCTAGTTGGCGAGAATATCGAATCGGTTGGACTGTTGGATGAGTATAATGAACGGGCTAAAGAGGGGGTGGTGCTCTGCGTTGGCGGAGCAAGAAACTCATCAGATAGACCGACATTATCGATAAAATCTCGTAATTTTTGTTTAATAGCCTCTTTTCGATTCGCATCCGAATGAACTATTAAAAATAGAGATATTTGTAAGAGAGATATATGATACATAAAAAAAGTCGCGCATACAAATCAACGCGCAGATTCTTTACTTACTTGGCATTGCATACAGTAAACTTTCAAGGGCAGTCAAGTATAAATCTAATGCGCATGGATGATTCCCTTGTTGGTCTTCTTCCACAGCAATAGCGGAGAGGGTAATTGCTTGATCAACCAATTTACGATTCATTCTGTTTGATAATTTTTTTCGCCTTGTATGAATATTATTTTGTTGTTGTTGTTGTGGAGTAGCTGCTGTTGTTGTTGCTCCTGCAGTATTAATACTCAACATGTTAGTACCTTGAGCGACGATAGTAGCTGATGCGGAATTAATGTGAGATTTCGCTCGTCGCGTGTTTGAGCGTCTGCTATTATTATTGCTGCTGTTGTTATTGTTGATCGATGATGATAAGGGAAAAATTGGATTATTATTATTATTAATATTAATATTATTATTATTATTATTATCAACTGAAAGTTCGGTGGGTGTAAATAGAATTTCTGTTGGCTGGGTTGGTGGTTGTTGTGACTTTTGTCCAAATAATGAAGAAAATGGGAGCATTGCTGAAAGTTGAACTGGCAGTGATGAAGGTATCGCTATGTTACTCAATATACCTTTGGTCTGTTGACCATTAGGATGATAGAAAGCTGTCGCTGCTGTCTCCAACATTTTTATTGTTATATTTTATTGTAATGAAATATATTATTGAAGAAAATATTGAATATGAAAAAAATTAAATTAATTTTTTCTTTCCTTGTTTAATTCGAGTTTTTATGGGTGACTATGAGATTCGTTATTCTATATTTATATTTACATATATATGTATGTATGTATTATATTTCTATACACTTAATTTATTTATGTTTACAAAGTTTTTTTCCTGAAAATCACAAGCAAATTGATGATAATGATTAAGAAAGGGAAGAAAAATTTATCGTTATATATTGAGATAACAATAACAATAAAAAATTTATTGATCACCTTTTTTTTATTGACAAATAAATGGCTTAGTGGGCATGATCCGATTCCCTTTTTTCTTCTTGCAGATATGATTATAAATTCTCTGTGCAGCAACAATTTATCACGACGTCAGCGACAAGAATAACGAAAATAAAAGGAAAGAAAAGCGATGTTTACTTTACTTATTATTGATATCATGATCTATTTTTTTTGATGTAACGGAAACGTGGTTTTGAAATAGTGCACGAATAAATTCGCAAAATAAAATAAAATAAAAAAAAAATTTATGACACAAACAGTTCGAGGAGGCATTTCATAACTGGTAACGAGGCGTTCGATATAAATAAGATAGATTAAGAACCCATCCTGCTGTTTTATTACCCGCAGAGATTTCTCGCATTGTTACTGTGACAGATATTTACATCATGTCGTGAAAAGTAATCAAATGATAAATCAAGGGTTCTCATTATCAATGACAGATTTTCTGCGCGCTCGTTATCATAATCTGTTTGAGCACGAGCTTTTTTTAACTAGCGCTACCAAATAATCGGATACCAAATAATCGGAGGATTTATTTACTGCTAAAAATTTATGATTCATCAAAGCAAAAAACCAATACCCATTAAAAGCCTTTCTTTTTCAGGTTTGGTGCCTGCAAACGGTTTTTGATTCCACTGATAAAAATTCGATTCATTCATTCGTTCCACAGAAAATAATTTTTTTTGATAGGTTAATATCGATATGATAGAGTGATTTTCACTCTGATATTATTAAGGAAAAAAGGGAGGGATCAGATGAATTGGGTGAGCAAGTATTTATTGATGCAATTTTCTATGATGCAATTTAATAAATTATGAATTTCTCGTGTACATTGATGCTTTCGCATGTGCAATCAGCATTGATAAATAGAACTATAGAGTCCAAGCTCTAAGCTCCTTATATAGACACGCGCGTTATATATAAATGGGCGCATAGATCATTGCGCGCATTGTTGATTTGATGTAAGTAAGGAAGAGTGTGGTGCATTATTGACGATGTCTTGAATCCCCTGTCATTGTATACGTAGTAAAATTCATGATTAATTCCGCGATAAAGAAACGAAAACCATTTATAAATAATAGTGTGATTCAAAGAATTAATATTTACAAGTAAACTATGATCTGAACCTCCCGTTGCATCACAAAATGCCAAAAAATCGTTTAAAGCGAAGAGAATAATGACTGATTGTGGTCATTGTTGTTTTTCCTTATTTACTTACTCAATTTGGTTTCATAGCACACAATACATGCGAGTTTATATAATAAATATTCCCACACACGAAAATAGAGATAATGTAGAAAAGAAATATCGATATCATTCGTGCACAGAAATTGGATGTAATTGGTTCACGCTTATATAAAAGTCCACTTTTAATGTAAGATGATCGTATATGGCATTAGTTTTTGGTCTTCTTTTTTAGTACCATTTTACAATAACAATATCGATATGTTAAAACGTCATACTTTTTTGATGCTTATTCATGTAACTTTAATACATTGTCAATTTTTCATAGATTCAATGCATAATAATTCGTTTCGCTCACTTGCGCTAGACCATAAATCATAAAAACTTATGCCTGGGCGTTGAGAACACGCAATCACAGGCTAATGCTTAGACTTTCCCAATAATTAATCTCATTCGACTCTCCCTTATAATGAATTTTGAAGAATGGGCATCGTCGCGTAACCTTCCAAATGCCTCCATCGCTCAAGCGAAATTTTCGTTACGCAGGAATTCGTAAACTCGTATAAAGATTTAAAATATTCATCTTATCTTCGCCTGGGGATCCAAAAAAAACATGAATTCTTCATCTTCGTTAACGTTAATAACGCCTCTTCACACAAATCTAGATATCACTAAAGAAGGAAAAGATTAGCGATCAGCATGTTTAGATCTACAAGAAACTTTTTTTTCAACCTTTTTTTTCCCTTCCAACAACGTCCATCGTTCACCACAAATATAAATAAAAATGCTCAGAAATGCTGTTCGTGTTTCTTCACCGTTGTCTTCCACACTAGTTCGTCGGGTTGACCCCGCTATCCGAGCGAATACTGGAGCTTTTTGCAAATCCCTCGTGAACACGACAATCCCATGTTTCGCAAACGCTGTTAGAAACTATGCGTCCGCTAAACCTTCAACTTCTGAAGTATCTTCCATTTTGGAAGAGCGCATTTTAGGACTTAGTTCAACAGTAAACATTGAAGAAACTGGTCGTGTGTTATCGATAGGTGATGGTATCGCTCGTGTGTATGGCCTAAAAAACATAAAGGCGGAAGAAATGGTGGAATTTTCAAGTGGTGTAAAGGTACTATTTCGATTTTCATCAGAATTCTTTCATCGATCATTCCAGCAAAGATCATGTTTATCGATTAATAAATTTTATTAATTCTATAAATATTTAAATCAATTATTGAATTAAATTGAAAAGTAAAATGTTTAAAAAAAAATAATAAATATCGCTTGACAAGAAATAATGAATCTTGATAATTTATTGCATCATTATAGTAATGTGTTTATGATGTTTTAAAAATCTTTAATATTCACTTACGCACATACACAAATACACAAAAACAATATTAATCTGTGGTTGATAACAGGGAATGGCACTTAATTTGGAACCTGATAATGTTGGTATTGTCGTTTTCGGCAACGACAGATTAATCAAGGAAGGTGATACAGTGAAACGAACTGGACAGATTGTGGATGTGCCTGTTGGTCCAGGACTACTTGGTCGCGTAGTAGATGCACTTGGAAATCCAATTGATGGCAAAGGACCAATTCAGTCGACGGAACGTAGACGAGTGCAAGTAAAAGCACCTGGAATTTTACCTCGTCGTTCGGTACATGAACCTATGTCAACTGGTATTAAATCTGTTGATGCAATGGTTCCGATTGGTCGAGGCCAACGTGAATTAATTATCGGGGATCGTCAAACTGGTAAAACTGCAGTTGCTCTTGATACAATTCTTAATCAAAAGAAGTGGAATTTCGGTAATGATGAAACCAAAAAGCTTTATTGTGTTTATGTGGCTGTTGGTCAAAAAAGATCCACGGTTGCTCAACTAGTGCAAACATTAGAACAGAATGGTAATATCTCATTATTTCATTCTTTCATTCTTTCATATATATAATATATATATATAAAAAAAAAATTATCTAATATCTAAATACTTATAAAACACATAGATGCTCTAAAATATTCAATTATTGTCGCTGCTACTGCTTCGGAAGCAGCACCTCTTCAATACATCGCACCTTTTGCAGGATGTGCCTTTGGTGAATGGTTCCGTGATAATGGCAAACATGCATTAATTATTTACGATGATTTATCAAAACAAGCTGTTGCATATCGTCAAATGTCTTTACTGCTACGTCGTCCACCAGGTCGTGAAGCTTATCCCGGTGATGTGTTTTATTTGCATTCACGTCTTTTGGAACGTGCCGCTAAATTGAATAAGGATCACGGAGCTGGTTCTTTGACCGCTTTACCCATTATTGAAACACAAGGTGGTGATGTGTCGGCGTACATTCCTACAAATGTTATTTCTATAACGGATGGTCAAATTTTCTTGGAAGCTGAATTGTTCTTCAAAGGGTTTGTAGGCGACTTATAGTTATTGCTGTTTGGCTATTTGTGATTTGTCTGGGGTCGTTTTTGTCTTTTAAAGATTCAATGATTTTGTCTTTTTAGTGTGAGACCTGCTATCAATGTTGGTTTATCTGTAGGTTTTTACTCTATTACAATTTAACAATCATTGGACAATTTATCAAACTACTCTAAATATTCATTACAATACAATATAAATATAGGTAAGCAGAGTAGGAAGTGCCGCTCAAACAAAAGCAATGAAACAAGTTGCTGGTACTCTTAAACTTACCTTGGCTCAATATCGTGAAGTCGCTGCCGTAGGTATTCAAATAATAAATTAGCAATGAAAAGAATTTAATGCAATTTTTTTTATCTTGTCTAGTTTGCTCAATTCGGGTCCGATTTGGATGCGTCGACGCGATTCTTGCTGAATCGTGGTGAACGTCTAACGGAATTACTCAAGGTATGCTCAACTTTCGGCAGAACACATCTTTATCCCTAATAATCAACGAAACTAATACATCCTGTTCCGCTATAATTGATGTCTAGCAACCACAATATCAACCATTGCCAGTCGAACATCAAGTACCACTCATATTTGCCGGTGTCAATGGTTTCTTGGATAAGATCGATAGTAAACGAGTGAACGAATTCGAGCACGCTTTTCTTCCGTTTTTAACCGCTAATCATGCCGATCTTTTAGAAACTATTAGAAAAGAAGGACAAATAAGTGAAAGTACTGATAAGAAATTACGTGATGTCACATCTGACTTTTTGAAGACTTTTTAATTAATCGTGATAATAGCAATGTCTCTACTTCGTTTTAATCTAAATTATACAAATTATAAAAATTGTTTCGTATTTCGTTACGTTTCTTTTGTTTTATACTTCAATGGTGTATTAATAATAATTAAAATTTTTGATTTTATCACTTGAATTATTTCATCTTAGAACAATTATCTGATCTTGCATATTCTTCGGATTTCAATGTTTCATGCTATTTCATTGTCTATTCGAGGTTTTTAGTAATAAAGTATTTTGCAGCTCAAAAGGATTTAATGCAATTTCGCATTATTTTTGTGCTGGTGGTAATGATTCATTTATGCATGTAATCGAATCGGAATTCACTTAGTGTGAGATTTAGAATTTTTCGGCAAATACTAATCTCCGCCACTAATTCTTATCGTTATGCAACATGTCTAAATATTAAAACAATTTTACTATATCTATCATTCTGCATGATTATTATAAATATCAAGCCTTCAGATCGTTCCCAAAGATGAAAATAATTTTATTCAAATATTAGTATTAAATATTAAAACAATAATCAAGTCAAATTTATATATATATTTGTAAATATTGAATTACTTAAGGAAATTATCAATTACAAGTATTAATTTTGTAAAGATATTATTATTTTTTTGCTTTTATTTATATATTTTTCAAAATACATAATTAATATAATTTGTCAAATAGCTCAAAATCATTCTACCAAATTTCAAAGAAATAATATAGAAAATTAGAAATACTTATCTTTTATAAATTTTAATGAAATTAAAACTATTAATATTAAATAAAAAGTGAAAAATCAACTATAATAATAATTTTGAATTATAATAATATTAAAAATAGAAAAATAATAATATTATTATAAAAAGAAAATTAAAATTATTATAACAAGAAATTATCAAAATAATAAAGATTAAAAAAGATAATTTTTTAATAAAATTCAATATTATACTTATAAAAATTATATAATTTAGATAACTTAGATACATAATAAATTAATTATAAATTCCAGTTTATATTAATTAATAATATAATATATTTTTATTCTAGCTTGAAAAATTAAGATATCACTTAAAAATTAAAACAAGTTATAAATATAAATTTATATATTATTAATATTTTTGATGCCTTTTGAAAAGGTATTTTGTGATAGGTTAATAACTTTATATATAATATTTACCTAGGATAATATATAATAAAGATATTATTAATTACAGATGAGAGAGACTAATATAATCAAAAATATAATGTAATAGATATTAGACTATGATTATAATGAGATTAAAGGTAGATAATAAGAATGTGTTTATAACATGATCAGCTAGAATGAGATCTGTGATTATAATATAAAGAATATATGATAATAAATAAGATATTATTAATAAAGATCATTAAATTTATAATATTATTATGTTTAAATTATTATTT